TCCCTCACAGCATATTCCATTATCTTACAAACAACACTTATCAGACTGACAGGGCGATAGTTACCGAGGAATTTTGTCACCTTTTTTGAGCAAATGTGTTACTTGAGCTTCTTTCCAATCGGTCGGCAAAGTTCCTTCGTTCAATGTTTTTTGAAAGAATACTGTCAAAGGGCCGGCCAGTCCGACTGCTAATTCTTTGAGTAATCTGGGATGGAAGCCGTCTGGTTCACATGACTAGTTAGTTGGGATTTAGAGCTACCAGGCGTTTGAGAATTTCGTCTTCGAATATTTCAAAACCTATTAACTTCGAGCCGACTGGGCGCTCCTCAATATCTGGAACACTGCTCAAGTCCTCATCTGTGAGCACACTGCTGAAGAACTTTTTAAGAACGTTAGCCTTGCCCTCATCAGAGGATATCTTCCGTTGGTCTACTTTCAAATCAGATATACCGTCGTTTGTCTTACACTTCGAACTAGCGTACAAAAAGGTTTTCGGATTCTTTTTTGCATTTATAGCAATATTTTTTGGAAGTTTTTTTACTGCAGTGCGTCAGACTATTTTAGCATGATTTCGAGCTCTTGCATACAGGTTATAATCAGTCAGTACAGATTATTAGCAATGCAGTCATGGAGGAGTTGACATACGTAGATTTTTACATCATTTTGTTTTATATTGAAACAAACCTAACCTTATCTACGTGAACTTGTCCTAATTTTGTGAAAGTTTTGCATTACATTATTCAAAAACGAAATGATGCAAAAAGCTGTATAATTTTTCCTCGGCTGCATTGCTAGTTACTAATATATTATGAATTTGAAGCAGATCCGTTTCTGTTTTTTACGTTACCTAATACCTATCGATATATATCGTGTTAGACTCGGATCAGAGGATTATTTAAGGCCAATACATTATGAATCATGTACTATATTCAGATGGAAAACTTTAGGTGCGGCAAGACGAAACGGGTCGGGAGAAGTAAACACACAATAAATTGATAAAGTGAATTTATTCGTTAAGTTCACGTGACCTGCTCGATGTGATGATCCAGGAGGAATTGGAAGGCCAAGCCAGGCCAGTGGTGAAGGTCGACGTGATACACGTGATTGCGTAGTGAGGCGTCGTGGACGTGACCTCGTCTTGGAGACGTTGCACAGCCAGAGACGCGAGAAGACGTTACCCGAAGGCCGAAACACGTGGTGATGTGGGCACGTAGAGATGTGCACACGTGGAGATGTGGAGATAACACCTTAAGCACGCTTTCGTGTTACTAAATGCCCGTGGGGAAAATTCACTAAATACACGTGGGGAAAGTCCCTGAATGCACGTGGGGAAAATTCACTGAATGCACGTGGGGAAAATTCACTGAATCCACTGTTTACATTTTTGGCCCACGTTGACGTCACACGAGACATGCGCAGAACGGCGAAAAAATCGTCGTCGCCGTGGGTCAACCTTGTATTAATTCAACCATGCCTGCCCCTGTCCTGTAGCCTGTGTAGCGGTACTGCGGTAGCCTGTAGTGTAGGCTGCTCATAGTCATGTCCTGGAGCAAAATTTCCTCCCTAATCCCGATCCTCCGAGTGCTCCGACCTACAAATTCTGAAGCCGATGCAAATCAATGACTTGTTCGTGACTTCGTGTTACTATGCTGATTGAGATTTGAGTGTTGGTTGTGAAACAACTTGTAATCCTGGGACTGGGAGACTGGTAGCCTGGTAGGAGTGGAACTTTGGAAGGCCTAGCCCAATGAAAATATTTATACCTACAAATAATGTCCTGCAAAGCTCCCATGCAATGTTTATGTTGGTCCATTTGTAATGATTTGTTGGATTCTAAAGATGATCTTGAAAGGCTGTTGTAGCTGAACCATTTACCATTGCTCTATAATTTGGCTATTTTGATTCTGCAATCAAGTTATCAAACCTAGGCCAATAGGGTCCCTACCTAGCTCAGGCTAGCTGAACAGAACTCAGCTGCTAGCTTAATTGATTAGGTATGCGTATGGCCAAAAACAATTATAGAAAAATTACTTTTCACTCATAAGATATTGATATACCTAGGTCCTAGGAACTTTGAAATTTGTAGTTTTTTTTTAATTGTATTAAAAAACCTAGAAGCTGAAATGCAGATAAACCACTGACCATAGTGACAAACCAGAGATTTTTTAGAATCAGTTCATTTTTAATTTCCTCATTTACCTAGGATTTAAACCAATTTCTAATATATGAGAAGGCCGGTATCCAGGATACTTTACTGGTCTACTTTTAGGACTCAAAAATGAACTTGAGGGAGAACAAGAATCTAAAAAACTCTGCTTTGCCACTAGGCTAAACACAGTATAATCCGACACATTAAGGACGTAGCAAAAAATGAATGGCTATAAAAAAATCACCTTATGTGCAACTCGAGTTCTGTTTGCTTTACGTCACTCTCTAAACAACGCACTAGGTTAAACGCGGTATATTCCGACATCGTAGGTAATTCTGTCACCTCTCCAGCTTTTCCTTTATATTAAGCTTTGTTTTAGTTCCATGCGTTTGTCGATGGCCACACTCAGGATGATGTATGTTTTCGGTGAATTTTCCCGCGTTTTGCACGCAGCACACCGCTCTGAACAAGCTCTGTGTGTCTAATTCCAAGCTGTGTTGGAATTAGCTTTTATGTGGCTAAAACCATCTCTTAACTTAATCATCTATTAATTTATTTACCACTTGAAATCAGCAAGTACAAGTATACTTAGAGGATTCCTAACATATTCAGACTTGTTTAAAAGTCTCAAACCATAATATTCTTTCTACACAAACAGTTTATCACTATTTGGTAGATCAAGGTCAACTATCAACTTTGACACGTTTTTTGATGTTCTCACTGGGTGATGCGCACTGTCTCTCTTTGGACCTCAACATTTTCCCGCCAGACAGCCCAGACCTAGTGTTTTGGCAATAGTATTGCACGCAATAGTATGACGTCACTATTTCAACCATCAACGAAGGTGTGGAACTAAGACAAAGCTTAATATAAAGGAAAAAGTTGAGAAGTGTCAGAATTACCCACGATGTCGGAATATACCTTGTTTACCCTAAATATTGATAATAAGATTTGTAGCAGACGAAATTATTTTTTTAATTTTTTTAATATAGAAAACAAATTTTTTTCAATTTATTAAATTATTTAATTTGGCAACCGATTCCTGCATTGTCTCCAACTTGATGCAAGTTTGCAAAATTTCAGATCGATTTTAGAGGTAGAAGTGTGTTAAATATTGGTTATAAGATTTATAGCAGACACACAGAAAAACAAACAACAAGAAGTGAAATTAAAGAAAAGTGTTGTAAAAAAGTAGTCTATTTTCTGTTTTACATAGGTGTGCCAAGTTTCAAAAAAGATCTGCCTGTAAATAGCTGAGATAAAAAAAACTCCAGACACTCCCCTTAATTTTCAATTAACATTTCAAAATAAAGGTAGCATTTTTAGTATTATAAGGATAAGGTAAAAATGATTCTTTAACTAAAAATTGTATAAATGTTTGAAAAAATGAGCCATTTTTTATATTTTTTCAGTATATATTTGGCAAGGGCCATAAAAACGTAGAATTTACTTCAAAGGTAAGCAATTTTGGTTAATTTATGGGTGGTTAACTGTGGCTTCTGCCCAGTGCCCAAATCTCCAAAATGGCCCTGATCAGTTTCACAAATCACAATTTTCTCAATATCTATATAATAATGCTAGACTGCTAGTTTCCATTCCATGATAGTAAATTGGTTTACTCACAGTCACAGGAGTAAATAAGAAAATAAATAAAAAGCTCTGATTTTAGTACTTTGCTACTTTATAAATCATTGTTGACAAATAATTGTCTTTTTAGATTATGCTTATGTTATTTCCTGATCTATATATCAATATATTTCTTGAGTTTCTTCAATATCTTATGAATAGTTTTGACCTCTAAAAGAGATAACTTCAATATAAGTTATAAAAAAAAAACCCAGCCATTATGAAACAATGTAAATATGATTATGACTAGATCCTCTACCTTGCTCAGTAGTTAATTAAGATGTATCACAATGCCATAAAATTAAAAAAGTGACCACTTGATATCTCATTCATTCTAAATTTATAAAAGATTAGTGATTTTTTAACATCATGAAGAAAATAAACTTCATAGTAGTGTCAAGGACCTTTTTTGCTGACTTAATATAAATCAAATGTTAAGATCATTTCCAACTTTTGCGAAAATCCAATTTGAAATTTAGCTGTTACTCAAAAAGCTATAAAAAACATACCGTAACTCGGTACTCACTTCAGTGAGTGACAGAGATCGATTTTCTCATTGACAAAAACGTGAAGTCATGGACGGACAGACAGATGGATGGACGGACAGATGGACATGGTGAGCACAATAGTGCATTTTTTCCATTAATGAGAAAATGCGCTAAAAAGCCCACATTGGTGACATTTGGTGTTATGTCTGCTTCCAAGCAGCAAGTTTATGATTGTAGTTGGAGTCATACAGCTGGCTAATTGATGTATATAAATGGTTATTACGGCATTGGTTGCTTCTTTCTCTAGGTTGCTAAATGCTAATGAGTTATTTTTTAGTGGTCTAATGTCTAAACATATGCAGATTGTTCTTGCTATGTTTCAGGAACATGTTGCAAGGTTCAAAATTTTCCAAGTTTTACCTTCATTTGAACCATTGACATTCCAATACAAATCGTCCAATTTGAGAGAATATATTTTAGGGGCAGCCAAAAATAGATTGCTGAACTTTGAAGCCAGTTCTGTCAGAAAGTTGATGACCAATTTACCTACAGCAATCATGTTGAGATCTCAGCCATAGCAAGTAGAAGAAATTAAAGGAGTTAAAAGTTTTTCAGTATTATTCCTAATTCCAATTTATTCTGTTATATTTTTTTACCAATTTATGTCTAGAACTATTTTAATGTAATGGTAGCTATGTATTAATTAGGCAATTTTTATGAATTCCTGCTATGAAAATTGATGGAAAATTTAAACCTTCCCTTTACAGCATGCAAGCTCTGATGCAGGGTACTGAATTTTTATTAAAAAGTATTTATTTGCTTTAATTTATTACTTTAGCCATCATGGATCAATATTTTGCACCATTGTGTTTACTCCTGCTGATAGTTGCATGTTCAGGTCAGCATCATGCTCCACCTGGTGTCAACCCTCAGCAATATCAGGCTCAGGTTTGTGCATCTGCTTTATCTTTTAATTTATCTTGGGTAATGTGTAGATCATTTAAAATTCAGGATTCATGATTTGTGATGCTTGTCAGTAGAAAAATATTGCCTTTGGTAATCATTGTTGTTTCTCTTGCAAGTACAGTATATATTTTGAAGTGTACAGTAGGTATAATGGAAACTTGTCCACTTTCTTCAATATCAGAAACAAAAAAATTATTTACATTCTCTGTGTTGTATTTGATATGGACCAGGCTCATATTATTCTGTGGTGCAAAGTATATGCTTTTGCTGTAGTTCATTTACAGTTGAAATGGCATTTCTTAATGATAAGCTCAATACAGTATTGTAAGAGTCTGTGGGCAATGGTTCATTTCAGCTGATGATATACTGATGAACATATGTAAATGCAAATCATTGCTGGGTGTACAAAACTGTATATTCATGTGTTGAAGTGACATTTTCACATGTCTACTTATTTGATTTCATATTTTTTTAGTTGTATAATCAGTTCATGAGTATATGAGTTGGTTCATGAAACTGATTTCTCAACTACGATGCAATGACTGAAATATTTTTTGTTTCAGCAGCAAGCTCAGCAACAGCAATATCAGCAACAACAATATCAACAGCAAAATGCTCCAGGAGTACCACCTCAACAGTATCAGCAACAGCAAGTTCCTCACCAACAGCAACAGCAGTTTCAGCAACCTACTCAACAGCAGTTTCAACAGCCAGCTGCTCATATACCACAGCAACAACAACAGCACCTGCAGCAACAACAACAGCACCTGCAGCAACAACCACACGATCCTCACAATCAACAAGTGGTGGGTGCTGCAGTGTGCCTTGCATTTGTTTCAATAGATTTTTCAATACGTGAAATGGAATATCTTGCATTTCAAATTCGATTCATCAACACTTTAGTATGGTGTAATTAAATTCAAGTTTAAGGATGCCATTCTCACTATTTATTATGGGAAAGCAGAAAAGTATTGAAAGTTTCAAGTTCATGAAATATGTAGCTCCGTAAATCGATTTAGAGCATACGTATTCTTGTTGCCATTTTTTGTGTTATTGGTTTTTCCTCCTCCAGTTATATTCCTTCTTCAATTGAATTCCTCACGGAATATCTTATGGAAACAAGTACTTTCTGAGATTATTAAATGTCCATTCACAAGAGGGGAGTACGTCTCTTAACCCATTAGTGGGATATTTTTGTAGGTATTTTATGTGCCACATGAATGCTCACTTATTTGGCCACGCTCAAGCTATTTTGTTACTTGAACAAGTGACCATTGTCATTGGAAAAAAATATGCCTGCTCAAAGGTAAATTATCAACCTAAAAACGTCCATGGTTTTGGTTTCTAGCTGGAATAATTAAATTTGTCTTTCAAATTATGCACAATTGGTTAACATATCTACTTCTATTGCGACTGAGGTTTAAAATTTATTGTTTTTAGTAATTGTGTCAAGAGCATTTTCATGATTAAAATGTTTATTTTCATGCTGCTGATGAATCTGACAGAAGTCTAGCATTGATATTAGTAAGCAAATCATGATTATTAACGTTTCACTGGGTTAATTTGCACATACATCTGTACAGCATGGACAACGGATGCTGCACAAGCAGAGCCTGAGTGGCGAGCGCGACCACATCAAAGATCACTTGGAGGTGCCACTGGACACGAGCGGCATGAGCGAGCAGGAGCTGCAGTTTCATTACTTCAAGATGCACGACGCCGACAACAACAATAAGCTTGACGGTCAAGAGCTCATCAAGAGTCTCTTCCACTGGCATGATGCTGACAACCACGACCCTAGCAAGGTGACGAATCAATCAAAGTCAAACTATGTAATGCGTGAAACGTCTGCAAAATTTAGACTTGGTTTTAGTTGACTCATTGCCGGAAAATTGAGAGCGCCATCTATAACATCTCAACTTTATCGAAGTTATGCTTCAACCACACGTTATCGAAACTTGGAAAACCCTGCTCTTGGATATATTTTATGTCTTAAAAATGTGAGCCGTGCAAGGTGAGATGTGGTGTCTCAAATGGGAAGACCGTTCAAGGTGAGATGTGAAGACCGTTCAAGGTGAGATGTGAAGACCGTTCAAGGTGAGATGTGAAGACCGTTCAAGGTGAGATGTGAAGACCGTTCAAGGTGGGATGTGGTGTCTCAGATATGAAAACAAAGACGAGATGTGGTGTCTCAAATGTGAAGACTGTTAAAGATGAGATGTGGTGTCTCAAATGTGAAGACTGTTAAAGATGAGATGTGGTGTCTCAAATGTGAAGACTGTTGAAGATGAGATGTGGTGGCTCAAATGTGAAGACTGTTAAAGATGAGATGTGGTGTCTCAAATGTGAAGACTGTTGAAGATGAGATGTGGTGGCTCAAATGTGAAGACTATTAACGAGGAGATGATGTGGCTCCAATGTGAAGACCGTTCAAGGTGAGTTGTAGTGTCTCAGATGTGAAGACTTAAAGATGAGATGTGGTGTCTAAAATGTGAAGACTTAAAGATGAGATGGGGTGTCTCAGATGTGAAGACTGTTAAAGACGAGATGGGGATTCTCAGATGTGAAGACCGTTCAAGGTGAGATGTGGTGTTGCAACTGTTGAAGATCGTTCGCAGTGATGTGCTTGATTGTAATCAGTCTACAGTGAGAGATAATTCATATGTGAACTATTCAGGCGGTCTATCATATGTATGCGGCCCACGGGCATAATTGACTCGCATAATGACCAATCGCAGTTTGAATAAATTGATTCATGAATATTTAATGGTTATTATTCAACTTATAGGGATCAAGTGGGATGGATATCTCGGGTTAGATGCATTAATATGAAGCGTAAACCTGTGTGTCTCTTCATGACGAATGCTCCAGCGCAGATTTTCATTCTGGCATTAGTGCAGGGCCGTTTTGCTCAAGTACCGAATAGGGTTCAAGAAAAATTGACTATCCGAGCTCAATCACAACTATGATATTGAGTATCATTTTCTGCTGTACGTTCTTCAACGACCATTCACAAGCAAACAGAGCTAACAAGTCGCTCGTGTCTGCTCAGGCTGCAATATATTTTCATATACACATTTCCTTTAGTTCAATTATGTCACTATTTTGCCATAAGCTAGCCTTAAAAATTCATCCATTTATTGGTCGAAGTTTCTTGGACGTTGAAAATTACCGTAGCGACCTAGTTCACTAACGAAGTGCGTTAAATTGGGTATCAAGAACTTATGAGAAATCTTCCTAACAAAGGGTTGTTAGCTCGTATTCGAGAGCATTCGTTTTCAACTCTTGAGCCCAGTTAGGCTCAACTGAAGGGATTGTCTATTCCAACTTAAAAAGCATCACTCGTGCATAATTTGGACGGTGTGTACAGATCTAATTCTCTAATGCAAACTATCACACGCAGAAAACCGAGAATGGTCCACCGCCTCCAACCGACAACAAACTGTTCTCGGACGAAGAATTAGTAACAATGATCGATCCTATACTGGAGCAAGACGATCACAACAAGGACGGCTACATAGACTACACCGAGTTCATGGCCGCGCAACAGAAAGCTGCTGTCAATACTCCACAAAGTTAGAGGGATGAAGGTTTTAGACTTAGTAATGGTCATGGTTACGAGGTATTCTCTCGTGCCTAGTGCAATGGCAAGTTTATCCCGTGTGGCAAGCTGTTACCCATCTGATAAACGCCGAGATTAAGGATTCTATTTTCAAAAAGGTCTATTCTGAATGGAACAAATGCAGATCTGAAATACTAACTTATGACATGCATTTTTTAATAAAGTTTTTTTTTCCAAATTTTCTTTAATTAATCCCAGTACAGATACATACGCTATGTACGGTTATTCGCTGCTACTTAATGGAACGGGCCTGAAGATTGGCACTAGAAGATTGCAACAAAGATCAAACGAGCTTCAAGTAACTTTATTATTCCGACTTTCTACCACCTTCTCAACGTTTTGCTTCCGAAAACTTCCATTCCTGGAGCAAAGACAAGGATCAATAAGCAAGTGGTAATTAGACAAAATTATTTTATTGGACACCGTCAAGAAAGCAAAATTAGCCAACAATCCAATTTTAGTCCAAAAAAATTCACCATATTAATGGTGCAAGAGTGAATCATATCAGCAGGTCGATTTGTTAGCCGTGAAATTTGACTATTTTTAGCAATAAAACATTATTGCATCAGCTCCTTGACTGACAAGTAATAGACAACATTTAAATATCCTAAGCATTATCCTATGTTGAGAACTAGCTTAAGTTTTTGTACAGAATGTTGCCTTACACACTTGCTGCGCTAATAGTGGTTTGAGGGCGGTGGCGGTGCAATGTTGTCCGAGTCAGACCAGGTGTTGTTCTTATCTTGCACGGAGTTAGCGTTCTGCGATGAGGAGGAAGAGAAGTTACGCGACGTCTCAGTACGGTTGGTGCCTCGCCGGCCTCCCGCCCCTGTGGCTCTTGCCCCCGCTGTACCCTTGCCCCCCGCCTGGTAAGGGCCAACATTGCCATAAATAATGAGTATCGACTCTTAGAAAACTTATACGTTAGCAGCAAGTCCCCTTTAAATGCAGTCTTAACGCGAGCTCTTAAACAACACTGTCATAGCTGCTAGCCAGAACACCGACTTAACGTTACCACTAAACCAATTTTTAACGCAATAATAGGTTGGGATTTAATAGAAAAGTTTCGGAATAACATCGACTATCTAGAACTGAAATCTTTTCCGAACATGGGAATGGAAAGGAGTGAGAAGTTGTAACGTCTAGAACTATGACAGTGCACGCTATTAAGATCGCTAGTAAGAACTACATGCATATGGAGAAAATGCTACAGAAAATTTTCAAGAATGAATATATGTAATTCAGAATAATTTCATATCAGCAATTTCGAAAATCAACAAAATATTCCACATTAGACATATAAGGCAGATGATTTAATGAATAGTGTGCACAAACATGCGACGCAAACGATAGGCTCAGAAATATCGACAACGAAACAAACTGGCAGCTCAACTCGAGTCCTTAACTGCCTAAACAAACCGTGGAATAAACAAACAAAACTTGTGCCATTTTCTGACATGCGTCAGTCGATTTTTTCAAGAACAAGATTCTTTGACCCATCAAGAATATTCAAAACTATTTCACGTGACAGCTGTTGTCACGTTGACAGATTCACACAATGAACATGGATAAACAGGAACAATTCCTCCAGGCGAATCTAGAGCAAAAAAATTTAAATTCGGTGAAACTTGTGAACGTTAATTCCAAACTTAATTGAGAAAAACCCCTATAACACCGAGCGAATTTCAACAGAATCATCGATGAACAAATGTGAATGAACTCGGGTTATAACGAGAAAATCAACCAGTATCAGAGAAGACAGCCATCACCGTGGTGGCCAGACAACTGACAGCGGAGGCGAGCGGTTCCAAACAACGTTAAGATAACGACAATTCAACGGCAATACATTCAACACCAGCAGTTAGGCGACAAGTTAGTTGGAAACTGAAACGTTTTTTGAAGCTTTTAGGCAAGATAAAGCCATGGCATTGAACATCAATGAACGAGAGGAAATTGCTTCACTGCAGGAAAAGCAGCACGAGATCAAGTGGATAGACAAGAAGCCTCCAGTCTAGCAACTCTAAGAAACAACGGGGTTACCAGTAAAGCACCTCATCACAACACCATATTAAATTAATAAAATTAATTATTTGAGGGATGCATTTAAAACTTTCCTCTTAAATTTAAGTTAGAATTATTTGCAATTAACTCTGAAGTTCAAGTGCACGCAATACGGAAAAATTCTGACAGCTCGAGAGAAACAAAACGCCAATTGAGAAAATAACGACCAATAAAAACGAACACGAGCTCAACAATTTTGTAAAGAATGGGGCATCAACGATACATGCCTGAACACGGAGTTGATAGTTACCATAGTTGGAATAGCCGTAGCCAGTGTAGTCATAGCCTCCGTAGCCACCACCGCCGTATCCTCCGTAACCGCTGTAGCCATCATAATAGCCATAGCCTGCTGGGAGCAAAGAACATATCATTAGACTCAGTCAGAGATATTCGTTATTTATAATTGGTCTCATAATTGAATAACATTACTTGCAAAGATGAAGTCATCATTTAATAACAATATCCCTCAAACAATTTTCAGCTATGAACGAAAATTTTATTAGCACACGGCATGACCTTATGACCTTCCACGAGACACTAGCATCAACACAGCCACTCCACACTAATGGCTTACCTGAGTCGCTATCATAACCGCCGCCGTATCCACCATATCCTCCTCCGTATCCACCGTAGCCACCATTCCATCCCTGGCCCCATCCTCCTCTCCCTCGGCCCCGCATGCCACCGCGAGCTCCACGCATGCCCCGACCTCCCATCATACCCCCACGCATCATCATCTGGTCAGGCTTGGGTGTGGCCTTCTTCACGTCCACTTGGTGGCCGTTGATGGACTGTTTGGGCGTCTTCAGCAGGTCAGACACGACAGACTCCTGCTCGAACGTAATGAAGCAGAATCCCTTGCGCTGGTTCTTTTGCTTGTCAAATGGCATCTCAACCTCGACGATTGTGCCGTATTGCGAGAAGAAATTCTTGATCTCGTCATCTGTGAGCTCGGGCTTGAGACCGCCGACGAAGATTTTACCGTGACGAGCCTTAGCCTTCTTAGGGTCCACCTTCTTGCCGTTAATTGTGTGTTCCGCTACGTTGATGATCTACAAGCAAAATCATGCCGTCAATACAATGTTCATTCAAATTAGATCAGGACAAAATTTATGGCGTCTAATGCAACAAAAGAATTAAATTTTCCATTAAATTTATTGGCAACTGAATCATCGCGAGGATAATCCACAAATTTATTGAAAATTTAAGAGCTACACAAGCTATGTTTAATAATACTCACTTTATCGATGGTTTCAGCGCTGTTGAATACGAGGAAAGCAAATCCGCGAGATCTGCCAGTGGCCGGGTCGGTTTTTACGTTAATGCTCTCAATGGGGCCGAATTTGGTGAAATATTCACGAAGCTCCTCTGCAACAGGGAAGGTCATGTGAGTCAAGACAAGAGAAACGTTCTCACATGAGCGGTGAACGGTCTACATCAGCCGTTCAAAGATGAAGGAAAACTTAGGAAGGAAGAAAAACTTAGCTCAAGTAATTCATTTATTAAATTGAGCAAGAGTCTTCTCGTAGTGAGCATCAAAAAAATTTTATTATCAACAACTGAGCGCAATTTAGTTCATTTTGTATTATAAATTATAATCCTTCCGAACTGGACACGAAAGGCAACATTTTCCCATTAGTTCATTCAATAGGGTGAAGTAGTAGAACAAAATTAATGATTGGGTGCACAGAAAATAACGAACCAAGATACATTTGTAAATTTCGAGTAGATATTTACTTGTTGAAAAATAAAGACTTCAGTAGAAACATATCAAGCTTATGTATATTGAAAAATATTAAGAAATATTCATCAACTTTGTGAAAGCGCCCAACAAATAATCTGTTTATAATTCCACCCTGAATTAACTTCAAGACAAACATCAAGTTACTGCTACACGGAAACTCACTTTCAGTTGTTTCCCAACTCAGGCCGCCAACGAAAAGTTTTCTGGAAGATATAAGAGGGAGCAAATGAGACAAGGCTAGAAACAAATGAACACGCACAAATAAGAACAGTTAAAAAATGTTAAGTAAAGTTACTTTACCTTGAAAAGTTGACTTAAATCATTGATGACAACTGCAAGGATTGAGATGAAGAGCAAAACTTAGCAGGATAGCAAAGCTGGTGCGACCCTTTGGCCTCACATTAGGCAGGACGTTACAGCCAATTTCGGAATTAAATGAATTCTGAAAGTGAATAGAATATGGCCATGACAACCAAGATTAGGAAAAACTTTTCTGAAGACCTAACACAGTTGGATGATAAATACCCTGTTAGTGTAGAGGTGCGCTACACACTGCAGCAACCTTCCCGTAGCGGGTAAGAGAAGGTAAGCTCCCATCTGGTTGGGAGAAGACGCATCCATTAGCTTGGCAGCGGCAACATCCCGACGACAGTCCATACTGGCAAATAACCATTTACAGACCTATGCATTTCATCACAATTTGAACGGCAACAGGCGTTTCTTAGTCACTATAAATAACAGTGACAGTTCAAGTCTGCCGCACGTTCACAAAGTGCCGTATCTCATGTGAACACGATTCAACACCTTAGATACGGAAAATGCCAAACATTCTTTGACTGAATGATACACCCAAGAATGTCCTTTTCTTGAACGTTAAGCCAGATCTTGAAATAATTATTTGCCACTACGACGTACACGCGAACACGCCAAACAATTGCACGGGCAATTACGACTCACTCAATCTGAAGGATGACTTTTCCAGACTGGAAACTTTACGATCTAAAATGCCGAGTAGAATTATTGAAGCAAGTGCAACTCACAACAGCACAAAGAGCTTTACATCGTAGAAATGAGTGACAAAAATGTTTAATGAGACAGCAAACAGGGTCCCAATATAGCCTGGAAAAAATACAAAACTTGACAATATTAAATTTAAATTAATTCTGGGATACCCTGTTGAGCATTAAAGTTAACACTGAAGTTAGCACACTTAATTTGAAATTTACAATTAGTAAAGAAATAAAAATTGCTAATCTCTAATAGGCAACTTCGACACAAGCGGCGTCCTCGTGCCGACGCCATTTTGAATTCGCGCCGCAGGACGATCGATGCTACGCTTGACCGGCAAATTGAGAACACAAAACAATCGTACGAACAGGAGTTTCTTTCATGCAAATCACAATATTTTACAACAGTATATTCAATAATCAAGACAAAGTGGAAATAATCTTAAACTAATATAGCAATTTCAACAAATAATCAACATAATTTATGGACAAAAAGTAGGCTAGGTAGCTTTTAATGGTGAAGCCAATATTTCCGCGAGTTTCAGGAATATTTTCAGCAATGATGTTTATTTCACGTTATACATCCAAATGAACTAAGTAACGTCAATTTAAATAAAAATTATTTACCTGTCGTCATCGCGGCCAGGAGCATCGGCAGCTCCACTATCTTGGCCGCCATCACCTTCCTGTCCGTCGGCGCCTTCTCCATTATTAACGCCATTCTCTTGGAAATCACCACCCTGATAATTGTCTTCGGTAAAATCTTGATGCTCCATTTCTTGGTCAGCCATAATATGCTTACACTAAAATAAGAGAAACGGCTCCGTTACCGGAATTTGAGATAACCAAGAGCAGCTTCAGTCACGTCTTCCTACGAGCGTGGAATGATGCTAAGAGCGAGGTACGGGGTTCTCGCGTCTAGAATGAAAGAGCGACTCGTTATAAGGAAATGTTGCCAGATGAAAGTTATCCGAAACTATAAATACTAGTGTGAGAGCTTACTGCTTTAACGCATGCGCTTTGTAAGGTAATAGCCAACTGAACTTTATTGATTTTTCGTGCAGATTTTATTCAGAAACGACTATGTCTCGGGAATAAATTGTATTATTTGCTCTCACGTCGATTATTTGAGCTATGGAATGACATCCTAGTCGATTTTTCTTGCTTAGTCATTTCTAACTTCGATCACTGAGGAGTAAGAAATTAATTTAGCTCATGTTCACTTGTATTAAAGACAAAAATTAAAATTCAATTTTGCTTGCTGATAGTGTGCCGACAGAATCCATCAAATTGTATACCGGTATAAAATAATGAACCGAAAATTTGATTAAACATTAATTTTTACTGATAAGAGATGCAAACGATTTACTCTGGCATAGTATGAGAATGAAGGCAAATCAGACATCACATTTGCCAAATGCCGAATTAGGAATTTACTATCGTTTGTATTGTGCATCACACAATAACTGTGTTCCGGGATGAAATAGAAATTTGAACATTGGTTAAAACAATAACTGCAGTCTTGTCCCTATCAGTTCATTGTCCATCTTATCAATTGATGAATAAAATACACCAAAAAATTTCTTTTGTGTGAAATAATATCTTGCAGCTTGAAATATCGTACAGGAAGTTGAGGTTCTATTCGAAACTATACACCGTCCTATCGAGAGTATGCGTGTCTTTGACGGTTTAAACGCATCCATAAGGAAGCGCAGGGTAAGGGAATGACAAGAGAGAACACACAATGTTTTGTTTACCATAAATAAATAAATAATTCCAATAATAGGAAACCAACAAAACTCAATGCCCAATTAAGATCAGGACAGGTATTTCCAGTGAATAATTTTCAATACCTGGAGAATAGATGAATAACTAATTGGGAAGATTCGACCACTGCTCTTAAATGTAAGTCAGGATAAAAAAAATCAAAATACCCTCCACACGAAAGGCAGACTTCATAATATAGCACAATAAAATAAAACACAACCAGCATCATTGCGACATATATTCTATTTTCTACTGAATGATTCATGGAAGAGATGTTTGAAAAGAAACAGCTCGACAACCTGACTACGGTATTACGCAGTAGTATATCAATAAATAATTACTAATATAGACAGTTCAAAAAGATCTGGGAAATTGTAGACTCTACTGACAACACATCTAAGACTAGTGAGGTGGCAAGGGGCTTGTCGGCCGCTCCAAGGCGAGATTCAAGCCTGAAGCTTTACTCGTGTCAAGAGCCTGACGATTCGCAAAAATAATTTGAAATTTGGGCAGCAAGACCAAAAGTCATGACGACACACTAAAGAACGGCTGGCCACGCCAGGTCACGACAGCCATTGGAGAATGACATGGAAGCTCGCGCCGCACCGCCAGTGAGAATGCCATGGAAGCTCGCGCCGCACCGCCAGTGAGAATGCCATGGAAGCTCGCGCCGCACCGCCAGTTCAAGTCAATGCTGCTCGATGATGTTATTCAAGGCAGCATCTCAGCGCTGCCATCCTGATGAAGCTCGAGAAACTGTCTCCCGCAGCCATCCCCTTTTAACCTGTAAAAAATTTAATGGCATTCAAGTGAGGTAAATAAATTCAAGAAATCGTATTGTCAAAGATTGCTTGCAAGCGCAAGACAGAAGAAATTTTGGCAGGTAGTTATTCAGTGAAATTTCAACAATTATTCGTGTTGAATAAATGTTTGGCTTCACGGAGATATGAATACGATTTCATGCGCCAAGAAAAAGCGCCACGCAGAAAATTGACCAAAATTCAACAGAGATAACAAAAAATATACCACTCAATGAATTATTTAGGCTATGCAACTGACATCCATAGTTAATTATAAGTCCCGGACCACAGTCCTATTCAAATAAAAAGAAGACTTGACTTAAAGATAAAATAAAGGGCAAATATTTAATGCTTTAAATTCACATCCTTGCGGACAAAGATTCAAGCAAGTTGAAATTCAATTCAATTTAATCTAGAGCTCCTCACTAGACCATCTAGAGGTGATGAGGGTAGATGAATAATTGCCTCACCTGACATTTAAATCCTAGAGAGGTGGTGCAGTAGATTGGAAGGCAGCACAGCTTCAAGCTTCTCAAGGATGTACTGGATTGGCACATACCACCAGCCCACCACCTGCAAACAGATGCAAGTTTTAAAAAGTTTAGATTAAAGGATGTGGTGAAATTTACATTTTGTACTTGCAGCTAAATTTTTCAAACAGGGATATTGTAACGATATAATATATACAGTGACTTGTTAATTCACTGAGACACCATAAATGAAAATCTTATATGAACTGTGTTATAAAGAAGCAGTGAGAAGACTCAGTCCTTCACTGCCAGGACGGCTCGAGGAAGACTCACAGTCCGGGCGAGATGCCCCATGGGTTCAGGGTACTGATGAGTGAGCAGCGCCAGCAGGGCAGTGAAGGAGCACAGGCCTGCCGTGAACACGATGAAGAAAGGGAGCTCCTTCTTAGGGTAAACCGACACCTCGTGGAAGGCTGCAAGGCAATAATTACCCCGTGTATTTGTGCATTATGAAGCTTGACATATTAACTTACCAAGATTGAAAATAAAAATAAAAATGCAACTCAGTACTCACTGCAGTGAGTGAGAGAGAGAGCGTATTTTCTCGTCAACGAAAACGTGAAGTCGCGGAGGAACAGACGGACATGACGAGCACAATAGCGCCTTTTTTCCATAAATGAGAAAATGCTCTAAAAAGAAAAAGATAAACTTCCTGCTTTCAAGCCTGATGTTCAGGAAATATGGAGGCTGACAAATATTTCCGACCAAATTAACGAGAACAAGATGGGCAAAATCTGAGCAATTATATACGTCTAAAATAATATCGATGCAATTAATGAACTCGACTGAAATGGAAAGGCTATCCAGTTGACAATATTACTAGTAATAGTGAAATATCATCACCATTGTAAAAACACAACCTATGAACATAGTAATTTTACTAACAATGTATTTTATTGAAAACATTAAACGGTATTTAGGACAACAGTGACAATGTCTAGTGACTTGGTAAGAGCCGTCAAGCCAACGTTAAGAACGTAAGAGCCAACGTTAAGATATATTAACTACAATACTTGTACAAGTCTTACAAGGCAGCAGCTCTTTGTCATGGTAAGACTTATTAACTACAATACTTGTGCAAGTCTTACAAGGCAGCAGCTCTGTCATGGTAAGACTTATTAACTACAATACTTGTACAAGTCTTACAAGGCAGCAGCTCTCTGTCATGGTAAGATATATTAACTACAATACTTGTACAAGTCTTACAAGGCAGCAGCTCTCTGTCAGCACACTCTGTGCACGTCGGGTACGGGTAGAAGAGATGGCCCTTCTCAAGAGGGTACGGGATCATCCTGAACGTTCCTTCCCACGTACAGTGCAGCAGATTCAACGCTCCCTCAACCTGCACGTCCGTAATTAAAACATGTAACATCATAATATCAATAGTATTAGGAATTACATTCAAGCCAACTTTAATGTTTTTTAAGTTGTTTAACTAGTATGCATATATTAATGTCAACTTTATCAGCGAGGAAACAATTGCCTCCGAAGACACTTTGTTCAAGAAGGGCAGGGAGTCATACAGCTAGGTTCTAACCCGTTTCCAGTGAGGCAGGTGGAAGAAGGCGTACGCGATGGCCTCCGAGTCGCCGCGCTTGAGGATGTGCTCGGGTGGCAAGATCAAAGGCTTCGTCTCCAGCAAATACTGAACAGTACAAATTACGAAATTATTTATTCTAGACGTTTTTACACCACTTTAAACGCTTTGAAGCAATTATATATGAAACCAGAGGTTTTGTAATTGCAGTTTTTCATTAGAATCTAAATATGTGCAGCTCGCGGCGGACAGTTTTTATTGAAACTGGGTTCTGTATGTGTCTATTGAGGTCTGCAGTAATTCCAACAGCCGCGGTATTTCCATTGTCCCTTACAATTCTATTTAGGTACCAACTGTCTCTCTCTCAGACCGACTTTCGGCCAGACCTGCATTTTGCAGAGAACGTTTTTCTTTCTCTTTCATAAGCAGACCTTATTTTTGAGACAGTACTGCTAGAAACGACAACCGTATCACTGCTACGGTGCACGCAGCAGCAGAAGACATGCTTCCTCGTGAGTGGGACGAGTTTGGCTACCGTTCAGATGTTGCATATTGCCAGCATATTGAACATTTAGAAATATGTAAAACAAAATTGTAATCTTTCTCTTTCCACTGATGCATAAACTATTCACTTTGAATATATACTTTAAATACGAATTTATTCAATTGGGTCCATCATTTAGAATAACCCTGCATAAATGATGGCATGTAATAATATTGTATCTGATATTATGGTATGTAGTATGATGTTTTCTTACATAATGGAATGCATTATGATGTTTTATTATTCGATGGTATGTAGTACGATGGTATATGATATATTGGTTTACTGTATGATGCCAAATGATATGATGGTATAAGTTATGGTGACAGGCCGAACAAGGACTTGTGACCCACCTTAGGCACGTGTGACCCACCTTGGGCACGTGAGGGTTGAACTCCACGGCGCGGTGTATGGCCTCGACGGCAGCCATCTCGGCGGCGGTCAGCCCGCGCTTGCTGGCCACGTCGGGCGAGAACCTGCAAACTTTAATGGTTAGATCTTCTGCTTAATTATTTACTAATTATTTTTACTTATTAACTGACATCTAGCAACATGCTGACATGACCTGAGCATGATCCTGCAACATGCTGACATGTCCTGCGAATAATCCTGCAACATGTTGATAGCGCTGTACGGGTGCTGTAGAGTGGGTACCGGTTGCGTATCAAGAGAAGTGTATATTACGCTTGCTTCTGTCATACTGTGTAATTAAATATTTATTAATACCTCATAATCAACAGTGGTTCTGGATCACTTTTACTCCACCATGCACCTCTCTACACCAATGTAGCCTCACCAGCACCTCCCAGCACCAATGTAGCCTCACCAGCACCTCCCAGCACCAATGTAGCCTCACCAGCACCTCCCAGCACCAATGTAGCCTCACCAGCACCTCCCAGCACCAATGTAGCCTCACCAGCACCTCCCAGCACCAATGTAGCCTCACCAGCACCAATGTAGCCTCACCAGCACCAATGTAGCCTCACCAGCACCAATGTAGCCTCACCAGCACCAATGTAGCCTCACCAGCACCAATGTAGCCTCACTTGTCAGCCACAGCTCGCGCCTTGAGCAGCGCTGCAGTGTAGCAGATGGTGGCGCTCTTGGGCAGGGAGATGTCGTCGTAGCGAGCCAGCACAGCCTGCGCGTCAGCGTACGCCCCCACCTCCAGCAGCGCCTCCAGCAGGTTCTCGTGCAGGTTCAGCGCATTCAAGATGGCCGGCACCTCCTTGGTTAACTGCAGAATTATAACCAAGATTAGTCACAAAATTTTATTGATCAAATTAATTCTTTTGATATAGAGGAATACAAATTATTTGATATCTTCATTAAAAAACATATCTCTAGGAAGATTACATAATTTGAATGACTGGACATCAATTTAAATGATTCAAACACATTATTTGATCAGTCACATCTTTCTTCTGCCATAAAAGTAAATTATTAACACATATTTTAAATAAAAATTCTTTCTTTGTGAACACGAATTATGAAGTAAACATCTGCAAAATTATAACCAAGATTAGTGACAAAATTTGTTTGGTAAAATTGAGTCTATTAATATAGAGGGATACAAATAATTTGATTTCTTAATTAAATAAACATATCTCTAGTAAGCTTACATAATTTGAATGACTGAACATCAATTTAAATGAGCCAAACATATTATTTGATCAATCAGCCACTGCATTCTTCCGCCACAAATTTAAAACATTAATTTATTTTGAATTTACATTTTTTATTGCTGAACAATAAATATTGGCAGCAAATAACTAGGGCACTAGCGCAGCTTACGTCTCTGAACATCTTGATGGCCTCCTTCATCTTGCCGAGCTTCCTGGCGCACATGGCGAGGCGCCGCTTGATGTAGATGAGGGCGTTCGTGTCGCGTCCTGACACACCAAATACTTTGTTAGCCATCAACATTGAACAGGAGGCTTAATGGGGCTTATTGGGTCTTATTGGCGGACACTTGACCATTGAACAGGCTTATTGGGGCTTATTGGCGGACACTTGACCATTGAACAGGGGGCTTATTGGCGCACACTTGACCATTGAACAGGGGGCTCATTGGGGCTTATTGGCGGACACTTGACCATTGAACAGGAGGCTTATTGGGGCTTATTGGCGCACACTTGACCATTGAACAGGGGGCTTATTGGGGCTTATTGGCACACACTTGACCATTTGACCATTGAACAGGAGGCTTTTTGGGGCTTATTGGCGCACACTTGATCATTGAACAGGGGGCTCATTGAGGCTTATTGGCACACACTTGACCATTGAACAGGGGGCTTATTGGGGCTTTTTGGCACACACTTGACCATTGAACAGGGGGCTTATTGGCACACACTTGACCATTGAACAGGGGGCTTATTGGGGCTTTTTGGCGCACACTTGACCATTGAACAGGGGGCTTATTGGCGCACACTTGATCATTGAACAGGAGGCTTATTGGGGCTTTTTGGCGCACACTTGACCATTGAATAGGGGGCTTATTGGCGCACACTTGATCATTTAACAGGGGGCTTATTGGCACACACTATGATGTTACAACAGGGGGCTTATTAACTAACAACTGCAATGATTAACCAAGTCACCAGTCAATAAACAACCTATATTAACCAATTTTTATCTCGTATTATGATGACAATAAAATAGGATGCTAGAATGAGGATGGCAGCTGTCATAAATCTCTTTAGAACAGTTTTATATCAATGAGGCTTTTCTTTCAATAAAAAACTCAAACAAATTGAAAAATATTTCAAGGCATAATGCACTATCACTGGAGGTCAAGGTGAATTAAAATCAGGAGCATGGAAGCCAATCAGGAGCATGGAAGCTTATTTGCGTGAAACATTTGAAGGTCCATGCACTCTTGTAAAAATGAAACACTGTCATCAAAAGCCCTCACAGAACGAAATATTCTAACTAAACTAAATATTAAAGCCTAATCAATTGCACTACTGACTATGAAGTAGTTCAAGCATGGCGCTTTGATGCTGCAGGGCCTGGCTCTTCTTATAGCTGATCTCAGCAAACTTGAGCCCCGTCCTGAGCATCTTCTCAGCGTCGAGGATGTTGGTGCACTCCTCCTCCGCCAGCAGGATGTACGCGCACACGCACTCAGGGTTCATCTCCAGCGCACTCTTGGCCGCCTTGATGCGTACCTCCGTGTTGCGCTCCCGCCACGCCGTTTGCATGACTGCAATATTGATTATATTTAGTGCATTCTTCAAACTAACACATAGGAACAGATTCTGTTGATTGTTTGACTGAAATTAAAGATGTATTTAGAGCCTTCCTCAAGCTAACACATACAGAATCTGTTGATTGCTTGACTGAAATTTTGATTATATTTAGTGCCTTCTTGAACTAACACAGAATTTGTCAATTTCTCGACTGATATTTTGATTGTATTCAGAGCCTTCCTCAAACTAACACAGAGAATCTCTTGATTGTTCGACTGAAATTTTGGTAATATTTAGTGCTTTCTTCAAGCTAACACACAGAATTTGTTGATTGCTTGACTGAAATATTGATTATGTTTAGTGCCTTCTCTAAACTAACACATACAGAATCTGTTGATTGTTTGATTGAAATTAAAATTGTAATTAGTGCCTTCTTCAAACTAACTCACAGAATATGTTGATTGCTTGACTGTAATAAAGATACAAACTAAACCACATGAAATATATCATATGCTTAACTAAAATTCAGATTATTTTTAGCCTCTTTTTGAAATAAAATGCATGAAAACAACTGCCTTTCATCAAAAAAATAAGTTTTGTGTCAAGTGGGGTTCTTCAAAGAAACAAGCTTTAAATAAAGTATGCTTTTCTCACATAAAGTTGTTCTTGTGTGGGTACACTTCCTGCCTGCAGAGAAGTATGCTTCGATTCCTACTACCTTTGAGAAATAGAGAACCCTAGGCAACAATTCATGATCCAGTCTAAACAGAATTTGTTCAAATCAAATAAAATTTTATTTGAAAACAATTTCTTAGAATAATAAACTGCATAAAAAATGTTTTACTCCCAATTAAAATAAAATCACAATCTTCATGCAAATCTCCTCAACCACATAGACTTGCAGAGAACTTATTTCACTCTTATCTCAATTACATATCATCTCTTAGTTACCAAAATATTCTTAAAGAAACAAACATGTTTTTTGCAAATATTACTGAACACATTTGATGGCTTACTTTGGTACTCCGGTTTGTTGGAGTCGGCCTCACAAGTGAAGAAAGTTTGGTGGTCCTGAGCAGAGAGATTCATGTCGTAGTAGGTGAGAGGCTCCTTCTGGGTGCTCTTGGTGAGGCGACTGTACTCGGACCCACGAAATAAATTCAGCGGATTGCGCCATACTTTACACTCTGGAATCAGAATAATAAAATGTACTTGCTTCTTCACTAATATGATGATTAGTTAGCACAAGCTTTTCTCTATTAAACAAGAATATATATTTGCCAGGCATAATTTCAATGTTTCTTTCATAGATGTAGATTTTTCTAGCTGCTGTAAATTTTTTTATCAGATTTTGGCATTAACTAGGACAATCTACTATAGCTTGACACATTGTACACCATGAGACAATTCATGGAAATTTGTCAATTAAAACAATGTAATAACACAAAGCTAAAGCTAACAACCTGGTACAGCCTGCTGATTATTGTTGTTATTGTTGGTTGTTGCACCTCCTTCGTTTTGAGCAGCATCGCCTCCACCAATCCACGGACTCAGGTGGTTGAGGGAGACTTGCTCGATGAAGGACGTGCCATACTTGCGGAAGTACCACCACTCAAATATCTGAACACAAAGCATGATAAATGAGTTATTTTATGGCTGTGATTTTCAAGCATCCAGACAGAAAAAGAGTTAAGAACTGCTTGCATAGCAAACATTTTCTCCAAAAATTCTAGTTTGTTCTAGTGGAATGCCACTTTAGAACAGAGTTTCTTCCTCAAAATTTCAAGACCAAATAGAAAACAGATCTAATTCATTATTGAGCATGAAATTGGTTATGAAAAAATATTAAAATATTTTTGTCAGTAAGTTATTTCAATGAAAGCAAGACCTAACATCATACAAAAATTTAGCTAGAAAGCATTTAATAACAACACAATTCCCATGACACATATTGAATTAACAGTATTTTTCAAAAATTGACAAACTTGTTTTGCAAAATTTGGTTTAGAAAATATTTCATTCATTTTCAAAACTCAGTTTGCCACATTTCTGTTTAAATTTATCCACATTGGAAGTACAGAGTTGGCTCAAATTTACTCACAAGTATGAGGCCTGATATGAGTGATGAGGTTCCAGTGAGAGCAACATAGAACTTGGGTGTCAGGGTGGAGAGAAACACAGTGGCTGTAAAACAATAAAATTTATCATTACAATTCTGTTACATCCAGCAGCAATTAGTCATAAAAGTTCATTAATCACATCCTACAGCTCTGGGCAAGTCAGGGATATCACATCCTACAGCTCTGGGCAAGTCACAAGAATCCATTAGTGCAATTATATCACATCCTACAATCTGGGCAAGTCCTGAGACTCCATTAATACAATGATATGGTATTACATCCAACAGCTCTGAAAAAGTGACAAAACTTCATTAATGCAATGGTATTACATCCAACAGCTCTAGGAAAGTCCTGACACTCCATTAATACTGTGATATTTACATCTCAGCCCTCAGCAAGTTAAAATTCATTAATACATCAGCAAACTGTAAAAATATCTCACAATCTTGCCAGAACATTTATGTACTTCACATTGGTGTGTTATAACTTTGAAACATCTTTATTTTTGTAGTACATGCATAAATAGTATTAGAAACCAACAAATCTATGAGATAATCTATCAACAACTTACAAACAAATTTTATTATAAGGAGAAAATGTTCATAATAAGGAATATTTCATTGAAGACCAGAGAATTTGTTTTATTCGCAATTTTCTTATTAGTTTTTTCAATATATTGAACAATATTGGATGAATTGAATATTGGATGAGAATTATATTGAATTGGATGAGATCCAATATTCAATTGGATCTCATCCAATTGAATATTGGATGAGATGAATTCTGTCTTGGAGTTTACATACGAGCTCGGCCGAAATCGTACTTTGCCCTTTTTGGATATAGTCGTCCAAGCTAAGAATAATTCATTTGTAACCAAAGTATACCGGAAACCCACAGATGCCGGGAGAGTCCTTAACGCCGCCAGCGAATGCCCAGAGCGCTACAAAAGAAGCGCAATAAGTGCTCTCATCCAACGAGCACTCAAAACCTGCTCCTCTGAAAATGATTTGAATACGGAGCTGATCAACATGTTAAAAGCAAACAGCCTAAAACTCCGAGCTCTAATTAGATTGTTTTCGTTCCTCAAACGAAAATTTTTTACTGTTCACTTCGCACTAATGGACTCCATTATAAAGATCTCAACTTGACTTTAAACAGAGGCTCCACTAAGTTTTAATAAAAGAGGGGCTGAACCCACCTGCTCTTATGAAAGGAGGCATTATATTCTTATTAAAAACCATTTAAAAAACTATTTATTAAGTTTTTCGAAATCCTAGGCCTTGAGTTATCTGTAGGCCTAGCGACGCTCCTGACCCCAAATTTCATCATTTTTCTCAACCTAGTTTTGAAAGAGGTTTCTAACCTACTGGTGGTTCTGCATTCTGCTTACGTCTCAGAAGCTTGACATCACCGTTAGGCCATAATGAATATGTCATTATGTGTACCAAGTTTCATCGAGCTACGTTCAGTACTTTAGAAGATATTTCAGGTACAGAGTGCGGCCGCGAGACCGGCCCCAAGTACACGGCCGTAAATTTGTCTGAGACGTACATTTGCGCTACATTTCAATCATTGTATTTATCTTGAAACTGATATAAAAAAGCCGTATTACGTGGAATTTATTCGTTTAAACTCGTTATCAATGGGAAATAAGTCAATGCGTTAATGCTTATAAACTCGTTTGATGTGGATTTTCTTTCGTTTGAAAATTGTTGAATGTTAACATAACATAACATAACATAATGATGTCGGCGCTGAAATGTAGGCCTGATGTGGCCTGTCGCCGATTCTTTTCCTTTTCGTGCCTTGTTCTGCTCGGTCTACTGGTATGCCAACTGTACAGCAGACTGGAAAGTGATCACACCCTAGGTCTCTCTACATAGTGAGGAGCACAAGAGAAGATCTAATGATAAGATAAAAAGGTCTAAGCAGGATGTGGAACCAGTTCTATTGTCAATGTAGGTTTGAAAAGAGGAGTCATTTAAAACACCCAAGTTCAGAGTCTGGTTGTAGTGGCCCTACATGTCCCACACCGGTGAGTGGGCATTAAAGTCACCTGTCAAGATGCAGGGGGACCTAAGCAGCTCAAAGTATGAGAGGCACTCAGCCTTTGAGATAGCAGGTCATCTCCAATTGCTTGGCCAAAATTGTTTCTTAATAGACTAACCAGGAGTAATGAGCATTCCTTGTGCTCCTCCTTAGCCATATTCAGGGAGAAGGCTTCATGAAGGAGTTGGCCTACCTTCATTGAAAACTCCTGAAGAGCTCCTGCAATCAGGTTCTCCATGCAACACTCGCTTTCAATTAACTCTTTGCGCAGGATGGCACAAAGGCTTTGGGAACTGGAGGTGGCATCTGTCATCAAGGATTGCTCATGTGTATGTTGGCTTGGTTGAAATGCTGGTGTGGAAGTTACCCCGATCTGTGAAGTTTTAGATGATGGCAGAGACTTAGCAGATGTTTCCAGGTAGTAGGAGCTCTGTGAGGAATGTACCTCAGCAGCCACTCTCAAGTGCATGAGATTTGCTAGATCTGAGGGTCCAGTTAGGGGATGACATGAAGTTTGAGGGCTATGTATTTCTGCTGGAGAAACATTGCTGAGATTCATTTGTGGAGTCTTGTTGACAACTGCATGCATTAAAGAGTTGCTTCCAGCCAAAACAGCAACAGCTGGTGTTTGCTTTACTTTCTTGACAGCATCTGCATAAGAGAGCCCTGTGGCACAGAGCTTCTCAACTGCCCTGGCACTAGCAATGACGGGACATTCTCGGGCACTAGCAGAGTGTGGATCACCACAATTTGCACACAAGCGTTTTCAGCCCCCACTTCTAGGGCACTCTGACTTATCATGAGGTCCAGTACAAAATAAGCACCTCTTTGGGCCAGAGCATCCACTTGCAATGTGGTTCATCTGCTGGCATTTGTAACACCTGAGTGGTGCCATAACAAACGGTCTCACTGGGTAACACAGATAATTTATGAAGACAGCCTCAGGAAGTTGCTTGCCCTCAATTGCCTCAAACACCACCTTCACTGCACTTGACTCAGCCAGCATACCCTGATGATGGCACGGAAGTCATACAATTTCCCTGATCTTCACAGAGCCAGACTCGGCCAACTCCAGGAGTTCAGAGACTTCCACCAAAGGGTGGATTGGACCAATCACTCCACTAATACAAGTGTCCGTACCAGGTTGAGAGCAAGTGACCTGCCAGGTTCCAACCTTTGTGAAATTGTGACTTTAAGGAGAGTGCTCATGTCTGAATTAGAAATAGATGCAAACTCTACTGCCACCAAGTTTCTCCTCAAAGGCTCAAGTTGGTTCTCACCTTCATATCAGGGAATCTGCCATAGGCAGAGTCTCTATTCCCTAAGGCCTCAAGCCAGCTTGAGTGCTTGACAGGATTTTGAAGGAATGTGCAAGCATTTAGACCAACTGGTTTGATTAGGACTGTAAGACCCTTGCCTTGACTAAGGAGTGTTGCATTTGTCACAGTGATTTGTGGAAATGAGAGCATGATTTTTGTTTACAGGCACTTCACCACTTACCCCCACACAACAAGTGTCATCTTACTCACCTACCGTCCCCACTAACCTAGTAACCTTACCCCTGGACATAGTGGCAAACGAGTGATTTTTTAGAATCAGTTCATTTTTAATTTCCTCATTTACTCAAGATTTCTTATGTATGATAATTCTGGTATCCAAGTTACTTTACTGCAATTACTGGTCTACTTATAAGACTCCAAAATGAACTTGAGGAGTCTAAAAAACTTTCTGCTTTGCCACTATGCCCCACAGCCCCTGGACCCCAGTGGTGTCCAAACCAGGAGAACTCTCCATCTCCATCACATGGAGGTTAGAAACACGTTTGGCAACTCTCTTAAGATGTCAAAAGACTTCAATGTCATCATCACTGCTGGCTACTGCGCCGGGATTGCATTCCCGCTTCTTGCCTGCACCCTGCAGAGATAACCAAACCCAAAGTAAAAGTAGCTAGCACTTGCATGAGTTGCATCCTCCATCGCACTCACAGGCCACAGCTATGTCCACCTCTAAAAGATCAAAAGTAGGAACTCTCACCTGGTTGATCCCGCCGTGATCTACTTCAAAATTAGCCGCCACTATGACAGGAGAAGCCATTCAAGCCAACCCTATCGGTATCGCATCTGCCATGGCAGCACATGCTCAGGGGGGGGCGGCAAACGAGAAAAGAATAAAAAAAAAACAAGGAGCATAAAAAAAAGGAAAAAGGGAAAACTACATAGAACGTATGAATATGTGATTTGCTACAAATAAGGCCCATAAAAAACAATTATCGGATGTCAATTGTCAAGTCTCTTCAAATTATCAGGGATCTGCACAAAACAGAAAATAGCGATAACGCAGAAGGTAAAGGCCACAAAGAGGTCATCTCTGATCTCGCCAACGAGAGCACTCGTGAACTGCTGGATAGAGAGAGAAGAAGACTTAACCTTGTTTGGTTTAACGTTCCCGAAAGCAATGCTTCAGATGCTGAATTTATTACTGATTGCTGTGCCAATGCACTTAACGTCGTTGTGAATATAACGGCATGCAAGAGG